GGTATCGAACCCGCTACCCTCAGGTCAGCAGGCGAGAACACCAACCACTGATCTATCTATCAATCAATCAATCAATCAATCAGTTTATTATCATGTCATAAAAGGATGTTACAGGGAGTAAAATATACAGACGAGGGTCCCAAAGTACACGATCGAGGTGGACAACATGAACGGTTGATATGACTGCCAAAGATATAACTAATTTACTGGACACTGGACTGGACTACGCTAGCGCTTGGGGTGAAATGTCATGTGTTCTGCATAGGACGTGTTGTGTTGGTCCGTAACTGTGGGTGGAACATAAACAAAAATGATTGCGTGTCAGTGTTACATAGTCAATTCATGCGAGTGAACAATTTATTGTCACGTTCATTTGTTCATCTGTTTCTCTTTGATGCATCTTTTTCCAAACTTGTCGATTTCCGCTTTCTAATCATCTTTTTTTTTTTTGCTCTGAACAACTTGAATTGTGTTGCCGAAGGGTTGTAAACGTCAATCTCTCCGCAGCCAGCCATTTATAGCGGAACAAATTAGGAAACCACAAGAAAATTCAATGCAGTTATTTAATGATTAAGCTGTGACACAGTCATGACAGTAAGATTATGAATAATATTGTTATTAATCCTAGTGGAGTGCTAGCTGTATTCGTAGTAGTAGTAGTAGTAGTAGTAGTAGTCGTAGTAGTAGTAGTAGTGGTGGTGGTAGTAGTAATATTTTGAAAAACATATCCGACAGTGATACTTAGCATTATCCCTCAGTATCATTGCGAAAATAACAAACTTGATAACGTGAAATTCCTCAATGAACAACACTTTCATGTGGATCGTGCTTCGTCGGTACAATACGCCAAGGAAAGTAAAAAAAAAAGTGGTCTTTCTCGACCACCCATACGCGTGAACGCATAAAAGTTCACCAACCTAAAATTTGCCTTGCCTAGGATTGTACCCTGTCCAGGCAACCGGGGGACGGACCTGCTAATCCACAGCGTACTACGCTATGACACGTGCTGAATGAAAAAAAAAAAAAGGTAGTTAAAGTAAATGGGCCGAAAGCGTAGTTTTCCGCCTATTTATTCCCACCCACTCTCATCGAAAAATAGGTCCACACGTCACATCCTGCGCGGCACTTCGGCGCTTGTAATGTTCGCGTACGTGCGCTTCCGGCGCGAGACAGGCGTTTCCTTCCAGGGCATAAGTTCGTTGAATATTCTGCGTACAGTTACAGTTGTCTAACCGCAGCTGCAGCGACCTGTCGCAATCACAAAGGAAGCGAATAAATGCCCGCCACAATGTATGTCAGTGTACCAATAACACTCCTTGTCAGGATAGTCGGTGCATTGCATCGAAAAAAAATATATCCGGCCAATAAAATAACGAGCACAGGAAAAGAAGAAGGAGCCCCGCCGCGGTGGTCTAGTGGCTAAGGCACTCAGCTGCTGGCCCGCAGGTCGCGGGTTCGAATCCCGGCTGCGGCGGCTGCATTTCCGATGGAGGCGGAAATGTTGTAGGCCCGTGTGCTCAGATTTGGGTGCACGTTAAAAAACCCCAAGTGGTCGAAATTTCCGGAGCCCTCCACTACGGCGTCTCTCGTAATCATATGGTGGTTTTGGGACGTTAAACCCCACATATCAATCAATCAAGAAGAAGGAGCTTTGATAGCGGCTAGACTACGAACTGTTTACTCATGTACGAGAGGCTCAAGTATATGCGCTCATGCGGGCACACGGTCATGCTAGAAGCTCTTAACGAAAATCGCAATATACAATAAACTGACGTACAATCAGTGTATGCATGCTTAGCCCTACTGATCACTCGAGATTACAGAAAAGATTGCAGGAATTTTTTTTTTTTTTACTTCCTGCGCAACGCCACAGAGTTATCAATACAACATGCCTCGCCATTTTTGAAATGTGAAACGATTCAAGTGTTTCACGTGTCGTTTGTTCATGGCTTCTGCTCGAAATTCTGATTTTAGTCAGCACTGGTTTAAATTTGCACTGTTTACAATGAAGGGCTAAATTAGAGCCTGTGCCTTTCTCTAACAATTTAAAATGTTCCCAGGCTCAAATATTCACACAACGTTTTGTTTAGTCTATGTACACCATGCCGCAAGTCAGGGGAATTTCATACACCATGCCAGCAACACATTTCACGAACGTCTGCTCATGCTTTGCCTCAAACTGCAACTTCTCTTTACAGCGAAAACTGTTATGAGATCACAACTCGTGTCTCGCGCAGTGCCGTAGTTGTCCGCCGCCGCTGGTGTCCGTAACCACATCACGGGAAGTTAAAAAAAAAACGCAGTACCAATGGCACAGTGGGGCTCAAACCCGGGTCCACTGGGTGCCAGCCCTGTGTTCTACCACTGAAACACCCTGGCGCTTGGGACTTGCTGGCAAACTTGCCTTAGGCAGGCTTCATGTCGGGAAAGCAATCGCGTTAATACGACCTATGAAGCATTTTAAAAGAGGGAAGGAACAACCAGTCTTCACACAATGCGAATAGCGTAACGAGTGGGTCGTCCAAGCGCAGGTTAGGACACGATCGCATGAATGGATGTGAGCATGAGACATTAAAGGCGCTCGCCTTGGGATCATCCGATTATTTATTGTACGCGGACGCACATATACTGCAAAAAGTCTCGTTAGCCTCAACAGCGCTGCACCTGATGTAAAAAACGGAGTAAGGGAACGAACGAAGGGCACTTCTCGTTTGACACTATTGTAGAAAGCAAACACATAATGAAACAAAGTAAAGCATGTCGATCATTGTCAGTATTTTTTTAACTTAAACGCTATAGCAATTATACCATGATCTTGGAGGGTACTAAAGTTGACGAAAAAAGGTTCTCCGTTGGTGGACAACGAACGCACTGGCTTGCGCGGTCGCTCTTTGACAAGGAATGTCATGAAACATTGGACGAGTTGGAAGCGATCTTCTCTAAACCACTGAAGAAACTGGCATGGCCTTTGTGTCCATGCCTTTATTTCTGATCAACTTTTTTTATTATTAAAACACCCAGGTGAACGAACTGCTGCCTGCACTTTACTTCTCTATTGGCATGGGAGTTTTTACGCTGTTCTAGAACGAGAAAGGCAGCGAGTTGGATCTAGAGTCGAAATTTTAAAAAAAGCTCGTAGGAATAAAATGGAAGCAGTTCGTTGCCGAGATATATGCAAGAGATGTATATGGATGGTCTGTGTATCTTGAGCACCTCTGGAGCACATGCTATGGGAAGGTCGAGGATAACGAACAATCCTGGGAACACAGCCTCTAGTGATCACCAGGGTGGGCACTGGAAGACTATGTTGCAGAGGTCTAGTCCAGACGATCAACTTTGGGCGGTGTAACGGCCCAGTATCGGCAGCCGCATTTTGGATAGAGGTGAAAACATCCGAGGTCCGTGTGCTTAAATTCCGGTGCACGCTAAAGCACCCATGACGGTCACAATTTTCGGATCTCTCTACCACGGCGTCTTTCATAATCATATCGAAGCTTAGAGACATGAAACTTCGTTAATTCTTATATTAAAAACTGCATTTGGTTACATCCACCACTGCATGACGCCGGCATGCCGCTTCAAGACACCTATGCGTAGATCCAAACAATCCAGAACTTTCTAGAGATGGCGGAGGCTTGAAGGCGAGTTCTACCGCGAAACCTCACTAAGTCCGCAGCACGGGCATCCCAGAAAATCTCTTAGCAACCACACGCGCTTAGCGACATCGTGGCACCCCTCCCCCTCCTCCTAGCATTGTACGGTTATCTCGGATGTTTAGAAGACTTTTTTTTTTTTGATGGGGGGAGGGGGATTACAAACAAGTTACATTTGTTAATTCTTGGTACTTTTTGTAGTTCCCATTTCGGACTCTTGTTAGTTCGTATTTTTCCTGGTTTTGAGCACTGGTAGTATTGCTTCAGGCCTGTATTGACCACTGTTAGACCATGCGACATCGGCCCCTAGTTGGACGATAAGCCAAGCACATTTAGTGCCAAGAACTTATAAAGGCACGGCTCAAACGTTGGCTTCAATGATGCTTCCTGCGCAGCGATTTCTTACAGCAGGTGATACAAAATCCCATAATGTTCGATGATTAATTTATGGGGTTTAACGTCCCAAAACCACCATATGATTATGAGAGACGCCTTAGTGGACGGCTCCGGAAATTCGGACCACCTGGGGTTCTTTTACGTGCACCCAAATCTGAGTACACGGGCCTACAACATTACCACCTCCATCGGAAGTGCTGCCGCCACATCCGGGATTTCCCGTAATGTTCGTATGCTCTGTTTGTGTATTACTTATATGCGCTTGGTGTACGCCCTCAAAGAATGAACACGTAGTTCACAAAAAAAAAAGATCTCTTTTGGAAGATTTCTAGCTGACTCATGGAAAAAGAATGTTCATGTAGCAATTGTTTGACGTTTACGTCTCAAAACCGCACTATGAATATGATGGACTCGGCGTTCATGCAAAGCTCGTGAAATTTCGACCATCTCGGTTTAATTGACGCACACCTAAATCTAAGCACACGGGCTTTTAGCATTTTGCATATATCGAAATACGACAGGTATCCGACCTCGCATAACTACTCGTAACACCGTAAGTACTAATAGACAACGATGATTACATATTGGAAATTAAATTATATACACCACACGGTGGTTCTGTGATTGCGGTGTTCTACTTCCGGCCTGCTGATGCGTGTAATCGAACCCCGGCCTAATTTAGATGAGGCGAATACGCTTCAGGCCCCAATGCATAGATTACGAAGGAGGAGGAAGGCCCGGGAGGTTAGCGAGTTTTCAGACCGGCTGGCTACCTTGTGCTGGGGAAGGGGTTAAGCGGAATGATGTGCACGTTAATAAACCCACGTGGTCGAATTAAGGCGTCTCTCACAATTATAAGGTGGTTTTGAGGCGTTAGAACCCAACATTAATAGTGAACACGTTAACATATTAGTGAACATCTTAAAGATATGATATGGCTTTCTGGCTTACCAGTTCAGCAGCTTTTAGCAGCGTCCAGTATGGTCCCTTAGGCACTTCTGGAAAGTTGTTAGGGGATGTCTGGGGCGCCGCAAAGAGCACCAGGATGATGAGAGGGGCGCATTTTAGGAGGAACGACGCCGCCTCGGCGGGTCGCAGGGCGTCGGCCATCTGCGCGAGGTGTCTGTCAGAACGGAATACGTGGGGGGAAAACAAGCGCACGCTACGCACTGCCACACACTCGTCCGGATGTTAAACAAATACGCACGAACCCGACAGTTCATTCCCGTGGAAGCTATCATGACGAAGATACAAAAATAAAAAAAAGACTTCGCACGAGGCGCACATGACGGTCCATGTCCTAGTTTATCGAGGCTCCGCTCGAAAAAAAAAAAAAGCGGAAACAACTGGCGATTGCAACATACGCGTTTCGCGACTACTACACGCGAAGTAGATAGAACACGCGTCACCATGTTCGTCACGTGAACGTCAGACAACAAAGAATCATTTAGATTGTGCAAGATGGTGCAATGAACCAGCATTCCTCGGACATCGTTTTTTTTTAAGTCTACATTCGTTGGTCTCTTAAAGGGCCCTAACCTAACCTAACCTAACCTAACCTAACCTAACCTAACCTAACCTAACCTCACCTCTGAAAATACCAAGAGCAAGTGCGCTGTTCTATCTCGCCGTTCACCGTCTCGTTGCCCATCTTCGCGGCACTATTCGTGGCGCTAGCTGTTTGTTCACGTGACGTCAGCATAAAGTCATCTCTCGATTAGTCGATATACGAGATATATTCGTTATGAATTGTCACCTACCATGCAACTGTCACCTACAGTGCAGTCACATGCATTTCCTTTGTTATCTCGCTTGACTATCGCGAGCGATAAACTTATCTCACTTCGTTTTCTACGTTTGCGGCTGCGCAGGTGGAGAGAAGTAGCGGGCAGCCGAAAAGTGCGGAATCTCGACTGGTCAAACACTAAGTGCTGACATTCCGCACTTTCTATAGATAGCTTCCAGATGGCGTCATAGTCGAAGCTTCATATAACATACTTGTTCCCCAACACGGCGACCTTGATGACGTGAGGATAACAAAATCACATCGTGGTCAACTTGCTTCAGTGCGACAACGGTGCTGCCAGAATACGATTGGTCTCTGAGAGTAAATAACAAAAGAACTTGCAAGTGATGTATTAATAACATTAACACGCGACGTCACAAACTTTGCGTGAGGCATGAGGTTCACAAACATGGTGGTCTCAGCGACGCGAATACGAGCCATTATTAAAGGAATAAGTGGCGAGGAGGAGATAGCGCTCGTAAGAAGGGTAGTGAAGACGAGAATAGAACTGTTGTCTCTCTCTTGAACTCGGTATTGTTTAGGGTTCCTTCAATGTCAAGTCGGTTTTCTTCGCCCATTTTCTCGGGGTTCGGTAACCAATCACACCCTTTCTTTATTCCTTCTATTTCCTTCCTTTTTTCGTTACAGGGGCCCTAAGCTACACCGAGTGAAAAAAAAAAAGAAAGAGTGGCTTCTTTCTCGCGTACTCAGATTTGGGTGCACGTTAAATAACCCCCAGGTGACAAATCAATCAATAAATCAATCAAACCAATGGCTATGCCATTCGCCTTTGAACCTAAAATCGTAGGATCGAATTCCGGCCTCCACAGCCATTTTTGATAGAGGCAAAGTACTAGACACCTATGTGCTTAGATTTATGTGCACATTAAAAAACCTGCCAGTGTCATGGTCGAAATTCCCGAAGCCCTCCACTAGGGTTTTTCTCATAATCATAGGGGAAAAGTACCAATGGTTAATATTAGCTAGCAATAAGCTCACTAATTCTTAAAGCCTAGGCGTCACCTACGAAACACAATAATTTAGTGAATGGTGCCATTCATCGCACGTAAAATAAGAAAAAAAAGTCTTTTACACATGGCGATGAGAGTGTGCCAAGCAATGTTGACAATGAGTGTGCGTAAACACTCGCGTTAGGCTCCGGACACTTGCAGAGCATCGTTAAAATATCGGTGGTTTCCGGTGAATCATATCTAACCTCGTGCTTTCAGCAAGTGTTGGACGATCTCGTGGCAAAACAAATCACAAGGTCGTGTGAATTATTAAACAGTTAACGTACCCTTGCATGCTTGCTTCACCCCTTCATTATAGTCTATGCTCGTTCGCGACCCCATCAGGTGACGTCAAAGAAACAAATAACTCATTTTTTTTCTTGGTGCTTTTTTTAGTGGAGCAGTTGTTCAGCAAATCTTTGCCTGTTCATCCCGCAAGCACAAACGGGTAGGTGCCACAGAAGGGGAGTGAGTGCCATTACTCTCGCTGGTAGAATAAGAATCAAGAAGGCTACAGTTGGGCTCTGCGGAGCCCCGCTCTTGACGACGAAACGTGGGCGACCCAGCGCGCCCGTGAGGCGGCGTCGAGGCAAGCCCTTGACGTCCCCTCATGGGAGGCCTAGGCCCGGCCACCTAAACGTGCTGGTTTCTTTAATAAAGTTTATTCCTCCTCCTCCTCCTCCTCTTCGTCATCCTCCTTCTCTTCCTCCTCCTCTCTGTGTCGTCGTTTTGTTCTCGCGCTATAACTATCATCATGCCATACCAACTAGCCCAAGCTGCCACACTCCTCCTAAAGTTAGGCCTACATATGGCTGTGAAACGACGGCGGCGAGCTGAAGACGCCGAGAACGTGCAGCGAAAGTATATCAGGAAAACAGATTGGCAACGGTGGCTGCGGGAGTACCTTGAACCAATGTAAGGCCTACGCCAAAGAAGACGCGGCCGCAGATCTATGATAGATGCCAGGGGCGTAGGCAAAAATTTTGGGGGGGGGGGGGAGGGGGAAGGGGAGGGGCGGGATTCAGTTATACTTTATACATGTTCGTGCGTGCGTTTCTATGTGTGTAAATCAAAAAAATCACGGAGGAAGGGGTTGCACTCCACCCTCACGTTTGGCTATGCCCTGAGAGGTGCGAATGCTTGGTTTGCGCGCTAGTGTGTGTGCCCACAGTTTAGAAATCCACGTCGTGCGTGACTGTCTGTGCTTTAACTCCAATCTCTTTGCGCTGAGAAACAACGTAGAAGCAGAGTAGCATCATCGAACTCAAGCTTACCTTAGAAGTGTGGCAGCGTGGGCTAGTTGGTATCATATGACGATAGTTATAGCGCGAGAACAGAACGACGACTTAATTAAACGACAATTAAACGACACCACTAAACAAATAAAAGTCCCCCGGCATGGTGGTTATAATACCCAAAGGTCACGGTGATAAATTATAGGATTTACCTTCCCACAATCCCGATATGGTATTGAGAGGCGCGATAGTGAGGAGTTCCGGAAACTGCGACCATCTGGTGTTATTTAACGTGCACATAAATCCAAGTAAACCACTGGAATGCGGCCGGCTTGGCCAGGATTCGAAATGAGAGTTTGAGACAAGTTAAAATCGAACACTAACAACATAAGAAGTGAGCTCACGTTATCGACGCAAGCCACGGTGGAAGGAAGGCGTAACGACAGTCCTTGTCGTGACGGGATCCATGCATATCGCCAAGACGTTGCCGCTAACCCAAGTACTCTTAAAACAAGTCTCGACTAGAATTTCGTTCATGACACTAAACCAAGCATCAACTGGAATTTGGTCCTTGACCGAATTCCAGCGTAATTTTCAGTCGAGCGCCACTGCTCGACATAAAATTACGCAGTGCTGTTCAAGAGTCGTTTCAGATTATCCCTAATATACAGGGACTTTATCTGCCAAGACAGGGCCCTTTCGTCAACTTTCCCAACTCAAACTAGAGTTCTGAGTCAAGGGACGTTCTAGAATAAGGGGGTAAGACTTCTCGAAACTGCTAGATCGTTTACGATGTAAGGATATATCAGTTTCGTTTATACTTTGTCACATTAAACGCTCAAAAACATGAGCTGTCACTATTATCAGACCTGCCAGCATAGCTGCAATGTAAGCGTTCATGCACGTGTCACTCACTCAGTCCGGTTTTTCAGAGAGGGTCACCTGTACAATGTCATTCTCGTGACAAGCTGATCCTCGAACGCACAGCTGAGCAGAAACGAATGTCATTCACGTTATAACCCACGTGGATCTTTCGTTCGGCAAGTGAACATCAGAAGTGCGCTGATTGGCGTAAAACAACAGGGAAAAAAAAGTTCTGAAGCCCTTGTTGTGCTTAAGCGAAGTCTCGCGTGCACGTGGCGCGTGCCTTCTTGGTATAGGCTGCCCAAGCTCGGCGGCTTTAAAGAGGACATCCGTTCAACAGAAATCAGAAAGGCAGAAAACCATGCGGGGCAACTTTCCGCAAACCTGCCGGCAAACTGAAGCTGCTCGCGTGTGTGCCTTTTCCAGAAACAGTGTGACCTTTCGTGCCAAGCATTGTGCAGCGTACACTTACCGCGGTGTGTTCAAATAGCGCTTCCGAAGCTCGACTTCTGTGTGCAGGTTGCTCGTTATGCGGCCGCTTTGAAGTAAATTTAGTGCCTCTGGCGGCACTGAGGGGGCATTCGCCCAGTGAGAGCTGTTTCGAGAGAGGAAACCACATTTACGTAGTTGGTAGTCGCCGCTATTGCACTATATACAATACAGAAGCTGTTCCGCTGCGCGCTTTCCTTTACAGTGTGTTCAAAGGCTAGCGTGAAACCACGCAAAATGCTCGTATCGCAGTTCTTTAAAGACGTTTTTGAAGATGGTGGCAAATTGTTAAATGAATGTCTAAGGCAACCTACAAATGAAAGGCCAGTGTGAAGCGGAGATTAGTGGTGTTAGCGGGAATGCAAACATGTCGCAGTGGTCGTGCTATGACGAGGTCGAGTCGCCGTCGTCTGCAAACCATTCACAAGCTTGCGGTCGGCCGTCGTCGAAGCCTAATACTCGAAAAAATAATGCGTTTGAATAATATGGTGGTAATTGACTGAGTGGTGGTTCTGTGGTTGGCTTGTATTGTGTGATCAGTAATGAGACATGCGTAGATTGTCATCGTTTTTTATAGCAGTCATCGTCTTGTGACAGGTCTGGTGCTGTGCGCGTGACAGAAAGATATTATACGATATTTATTCGAATGTGGCGCAGGGTTGTTTTTTTTTTCTTTCACATTTTTGCAACTACAGTAGACTCTCACACACAGAGTACCAATATTCTATTTTTTTCCCTGTTCCCAGACGTAATGAAATGTCACCTCCGACGTTACAATCGTGGTCATAATACAAT